AGAGGAAATCAACAGCCCTCTTTCTGATCTGGCTTTCTAAAACTCTATTAAAATGCAAGTATCCACTTTAAGGTAAAACGTTTCTGATAAAAAAAAAATAAGTGGTCAGTATAGCCAGCTGTACAAAACTGGTGTTTAAAACAATAAAAGGATCTATCATCTGGTTAGACCATATACACCAGTGACCATCAACTGGCGGCCCGCGGGCCAAATCTGGCATGCCAGACATTCTCATCCGGCACGCGCTGTGGCGCTGGAGGAGTGGTTAGTGCGTTCGCCCTCCACTCGTTTTCTTTTTACAAGGTCTCGTGAGTAATGTGCAGTGCAGGAGTCCAACAGAGAGGCAGCAGCTGCGGGACAGTAGACTGCGTACTGCGTAGCCTTCCCTGCCCTGAAGAAGAAGTGATCCTTCGTTAGCGTGAAGAGTCTGCTTTATGCGCTCCGCAGTAGCCCCCGCTACGAGGCTCCGGCGACTTGACAGTACATGAGCGTGCTCCGCTAGCACCCCCCCGGTCAACAGCTTCAAAATTCAGGGCTATATATAAAAATCGCTGGCCCCCGAAAGTGTCTCTAGGAATAATTTTGGCCCTTGGACTAATGTAGTTGGTGATCCCTGATATACACTGTCTGGAGTCTGCATGCATCCTCTTCCGCACATCCACCAGGCCATGAGAGTAGAATAGTTTCCGTTTTTTTTGCTTCTTTGGCACCATTAACATTTAGGCTACCCACTTTTAAAATGTCCATACAGATTGAGATAAGACAAATGAAAGCAAACGTTTAGGTGAGTAACACATGTGTGCCTTTACCATCATTATTGATGAGTTGTTTTTTAACTTTCAGTACAAGTTTTTTTCAGTCTATAGACTTCTTGATCAGTCTATAGACTTCTTTGTCCCTCATGTGCAATTAGGAAATAAGTTGAGAAGAAGAAGGAGAAAAACGAGTGGTTGTAATATACCGCATCATACTTAAGTGTGTGGCCATATTTGTGCATGTGTGCGTGTGCGTGTGCGTGTGCGCGTGCGTGTGTCCTGCAGAGCTTACATTAATGGTGATGACCTCGAGCCCATTCATTAGAATCCATCATCTGTCTGAGACGTGTTGGCTTTGCAGGGAGGGGGGATAATGATAAGGATGAGGCAGAAGAAATGAATGACTAAATCGATCACGTATGCACATTTGCACAGTACACATCCAATTAAGCAGGCAGGCTCCACTGTAACACGTGTGGGAAAACGCACACTTACATACTAGGATTACCCGCAGGAAGGTATGTGTGAAGACCACTGAACGTTATCACACTGACACATTAGCCGCCTTTAGCTTAGCAGTGGTGATACGCAGCTATGCGAGGCCTAATTTGAGTGGAAATCTGATTCCATGCTAAGTTTCTTCAAAGATTCAGTAATAACTTCTGCAAAAAGAAATTTAATCATAATAAAACACATTTCACTAAATACTGCCAATCACTTGTTCGTAATAAACCAGCTTCACCAATTAATTGTCAGAGAACCTGGAGGAGGAACTGATGATTAGGCTGCAGGGAATTCAATAAAACTGAGCGAAATACTTTTTCAGAATCGAAAACTCCACATTTGTGATTGCTGGCTGCCAACGATAACAGGTGGAGCGCACAGCAAGAGCTCCAATTAAAATCAAAATCAACCTGCCTGCTTGTAATTGCTTCTTTGCCTCCACATTGTGTGTGTGTGTGTGTGTGTGTGTGTGTGTGTGTGTGTGTGTGTGTGTGTGTGTGTGTGTGTGTGTGTGTGTGTGTGTGTGTCAGAGGGCAGCTATTTCTCATGGTGATACCAGAGTATGTTGTGCTGCCGCAGAGATTAGCCTGAGTTCCAAGACCCCATCAATATCCATGACTCCCTATTGCTCACAAACACTCACACACTCGCACACACACACACACACACACACACACACATACACACACACACACACACACAAACAACCACACACAGTGATGGAGTGAGCGGAACAGACCTGACGCTCTCACTCACTGGTAAATGGGTGCTCTGATGGACTGAGGCGATTCAGACACACTCACCCCAAAACACTTGCACTTAAACGTACACACCCACACAAACACACACACACTCACACTCAGCCAGTGATGGAGTGAGGCCATTCCCTCTCCTCACCTCGTGCCCAGTAGCTGGCTGGAGGCCCAGTGTAGACTTGCCAATTGGAGCTTCCACCAATTCAAACACACAAACTTTTCTGATGACTTCAGTACAGTACACACACACACACACAGACACACTCACACTCACACACAGACACACAGACACACTCACACAGCCACACTTGCAGTCAGTATTGATTCTCCCTGGTGGGCACCTCCCATCCAGTTCACACTTTTCAGCCGTTTCTAAAGTTAGTTATTCCTTTACAATGTGGGGTCCTCTATCATTTGACCTGCCCTCCAGCTACCTTAAACACTTAAATTCTGTCTCCTCTCCATATCTACTGTTTTCATTATCCTGAAAAGGTATTACAATGTACATTCAAATTAAATGGTTCTCTTGATTGGTTTGGATTGTATCTTCCCTTGAGCTTGTTCCATGTCATATGATTACCTCTGATTATAGCTAAATATTACACCGGCATTTCATTTTGATGATAGTCTTGAATAGATTATTTTAATAGCTAAGTGGCTCTAAGCATGACAATGTCGGTCAGTCAATCAATCCACCACTTTGGTCCCGACAGAAATATCTCATAGTGGACTTTGGTGGAGTCCCAATTACCATTTACATGCAAAAAAAAACGATATAACACACAAGGGAAACCCCCTAAAAGCATACAGTAATAAGGCCTCTTTTAAAGACCCCTTCACATCACCTATGAACAATGGCAGTCCCTGAATCTTTGGTATGTATTCATTTTTCCCTTTTCCCAATTCATTTTAGCTGAAAATGTAAATTCCTCTGAGTTGATTGGAGGTTAATAAGCATTTGCTTCCTCCTACTCCCTTTCGGACACATATGATTTTTTTTAATTATTATTATTATTATTAATATGAAGACTTTTTTTGTTGAATATATAAATATTATCGTGAATGTGGATAAATACTGTATTTTAACAATACGGTATTCTGTTTTTCGCATTTGTTATTTTTTTTAATCTGTTCGAAATAAAGATTGAAATTAAATGAAATGAAATGAGGTTATTTAGATCACCTGTTGCACCAGGGTGAGTGGCGTTACTGCTAATTAATTATTGAGAGCAGCTTGGTGCATTTCCTCTCTCAGCCAATCAGTTGTTAAGCCACTCTTTTTTTAGGGCTTAAGAGAGGCAGAGATCTGCAGTCAGGTCATTTTGTTTCTTCTTCAGTTTAGTGCACAACTCATTTTAGCAGATATTGACAGAAACTCAGCTCTTTAAGCCTTTTCCACACTTATTTGCTGCCTTATCCTAATTCAGAAACCAGCTGGAGTGAATATGAAACATCTTTCGACTATGTTACTTCCATTAGGGCAGATTTCTGTCAGACTTTATGTTTGCCTAACGATAACGTAATGCCCGCAGGCTTCAGTTGGTTTATGGGACAATTTTACTTGAAACTTATTTGCTGGTCAAAAAGGCATTTATTCCTAATTTAAAAGGCATTTTGACTTTGCAGACAAACATGTGAGATTGGTTTCTCCAAGTCAATATGTTTAACTTTGTGGTTTGAAGTGGTTCTCGGGCTTCTTCCAGATCAGCTCAAACTGGTGGAAAATATTGCCACAAAACCATCAAATACCAGTCGCCAGTCTTTGTGAAAAAGGACAGTTTTTTTGTCAGAAATGAGTATACTGTGCATCAACTAAAGCTCAATGAAGCAAGGAACAGAATTGGCAAGACAGCATGAGGACCACCATGTCTCTCCATATACCTCCTGTCCAGTAAAAACACTAAATAAATACTCGACCCCTTTTTAAAGTTTAGTTTAATGATTACAGTGATGACATTAATGAGTTCGCATTCATACAAAAACAGCCTCATTAGTATTTGTGGCATACAAATTATTCCCACTAATGTAGAAAAACCAGAGAATAAGATTCATGGTGCCAAATGTAGCCTGGAGCTACTCCATTGGCAACGAATGGGAGTAGAGGACTGACTTTGAGAATTATTTTACAACAGCACAATGACTTTCCAACCATAATGCACATACATACTTCCCAGGGAAAATCTTGTGTTATGTAATCTCTTTCTGAGTAAGAATCATAGAATTGGCCGTGTCACAAAGCCATTTTTTTCTTGGTGGTTGTGAAAGGCAGCCATGGCTATTCACTGCTTCACTGTCCTGTATATAAGATAGACAATGGCTCATGTGTGTCAGTGTAACTAAATAAGAAGCAAGAGTTCATTATATCAAGAGTAAACACATATATCTCAGTCGTTTTTTCAGTCTGTATGAAGTAACCTTGTACTTTGGAACGATAGCTTACTTTCCAGGAAAGCTCAAGAAAATGGTTGAAACACAAAACAGCACAGTTATATAACCATTGTTTAAATTCTGAGAAAAATAGAAGACCTATCTCGTACATTTCCTGTTATTGACTCCTTCTGCGACAGTAAGTCATGTAACGTCTATTGTGAATGTGTGAAAGAAAGAAATAGTTCTTTCTGAGAGGTGAATGGATTGTGTAGGTGTGCGTGCGTGCGTGCGTGCGGTGGTATCGACACACTATTTAAGACTGTGCAAAACGTCTATATTATAGTTTTTTATGCAAGTAAAACACGTAAATCTCCTGTCTCCATTCTCTTAAGTTTTCCAGAATTGTATACAGTTATTCGGTTTTTGGGGAGACACTACTTTATAGTCCAATCTGTTTGCAACTCATATCATATCAATATTCCAATTACTGTATATAGACTATTCTGCACAGTTTCTATTATATTCTGTTTCAATTACATTATATTTTATTTTATTTATTTGTACTATTGTATCTGTTCTATTGTGTTGCGCTGTTGGAGGAGCCTGTGACCTAAGATGTTCATTGTCATAACTACACTGTAGCGATGCACACATGACAATAAAAGCCTTGAAACCTTGAAACAGCGCGGTGAAAATGGAACACTGAAGACTCAACTCTTCACCGGGATAAATGTTTCCTGCTGTGTCCTGCATTGCTGCCACAGTCCTCTCCTTCGTCTTTTACCCCCCCCTCTCCCCCCCCTGCAGAGGGTCCTGGGTCAGGGAGTGTCTCGTTGGGAGGTGACCTCTCACCTCCCTCCTCTCTCTGTTTCCGCTCTGCTTCCTGCTGAGGGTGCAAAGGTCCAGTTCTCTCCAAGCACCATTGCTCCTCCTACATAGAGCAGTGAAGACTTCATATCATTTATAAGAAAGCTGGTACTCTTGTATAAATACTTGGGTGTGTTGATAGACCATCTTCTATCCCAGAACAACCACATTGAATACAAATAATGTATTTTCTCTGCAGCATTAGGTCTTTGGGGCGAGTAGACAAAATCTTCTTCTTGTATTTTTCTGTGTTTTTGAGTGTATTGCAATACTGCATGTTACAAATGTCTGTCAACCGCTCTAACGTTAAAACTGCTCCACCAATCAAACATATACAAGATATATAAAGATTGTAGGTCAACCTTTAGCCCACCATAAAAAATGTTAACATTGTCTCTGACTCAAACCGTGTCCTGAACTCGGAATAAGACTTATTACCATTAAATTCAAGATACAGGGGCCCCCGACTTAATCATGTTAATAGACTGACGCACTCTTTTGTGCACCAATTAATCCTTAAAATAAATACAGGTTTAAATCATAAGTACGTTAAAGAGTCTTGAACATGTTTCTCTTCAGTGATTGTGATGTTATGTCAAATGTCTGTCTCCTTGTTTCCTGTCTTAACATGTGTCCTTGTTGATGTTGTCTATGGAGCTACTGTGATGCTAGAACAATTTCAGACTTGATCTGACAATTAAGTGTTATCGTATCAGCGCAAGATTACAACAATATTGCTCCTGTGAATCTGTGATTGAATTGCTGGGGTCATGTAGATTTAAGGACTAAAACATGCAGCCTCATCTCCCTGAGGAACTCTCATCAAACTGGAGTGGAAATCTCTTTAATGCGAGTCACTGTCTCTGTATCTTCTGAAACATATTCATAATTAATAGTGTATCCTTTGACAACCTGTTGTGCTGAATATGGATGTAGTCTTTTATTTTCATCATTAACCTCCGATAACGTATGAATCCAACAATAGCTAATGAAATGTGCCATGTTGTATGTATGTGGGTGTACATGCATGATTGCCTTCTATTAATGCATGTTTTTCTTTGAGTTGTGGTGATGTGTAGGTCTGCGTGTGGGCCTTGTGTGTATCTTTGTGAGCCTAAGACAATCTGAAATGAAGCAACACTGAGCCAACACTGCCCCGGGCTAACTTAATATGGGTGTCCTTTAACACAAACACACACACGCCTAACCAAAGCTTGATGCTGGGTTTCACATCCATTTCGTCAACTGGAAGCCACCCACCATCGTGCAGCAGAGTGGGAGGTAAAGTCTTTATTAGAGACTGCCTGCACCACTGTTTGTTTGAACCGAGGAGATCTGACACCATTACCTTGACAGTGTGAAACAATATCACTGCTTTAAAAATAGAAAATCTCACATGCAGGTAATGTTGTGTAACTGAAGCTGCTGCAGGGTATTTAAATGACCTGATGTAATTGTGTGTGTGTGTGTGTGTGTGTGTGTGTGTACCTGTCCGAACAGACCCACGTTATCTCCACGCAGGTAGCTAAGTGCAACACTGCAGTCTGATGACGCCGAGAGAACGAGGAGTCTGTTGCCATGGAGACACGTCTCCAAGTGCAACACGCGATCAAGGTGAGGACGGAAACTGCTCAGTAGTTTCGGAGGTTCGTCAGTTATTCCATCATGTAGCTCAAGATAATAATGCTGAGGGACAGAGAGACAAAGCAGCAAGTTACTTGTACTGTTCAGGCTGGATACATCAAAATGCATTTTACTTTTATAAATAAGAGTGAAATAAGCTATGCCCCCCTCAGTTAAGCTACCGTTCCTATGTATTCAAAGGTTTACAATACAAATGTCCAAAAACGGCAATGTTTTGCTAAGATAAAAAAACCAGCAGATTAGCTGTAGCAAGCTAGCTAGCTAATTGCACCTTGGCTAGCTAGCTACATCGTTTTAGAAACCGATGAGTCCTTAGATCCAGATAAAAGTAGCTAAAAGCAACACTGTTTTGCTGGCTGAAATGTTAACTATCCTTAGTGAAATGTAATAAATGTTTCTTGTCAATCGATACGTCTTTGATTCCAGATAGAAGTAACTAAAAGCAGCATTGTTTTGCCAGCTGAAATAAAAATCATTCTCTTTCTCAAATGTAATAGATGTATCTATCCAGCTAGCTTGTTGGACTCTTTGCTAAGGCCCACTCCGTGCTACTTCAAGTTGTAAAAGCTAGCATGAGCATTTGTTTTGTTGTTGTCACTAACTACACTACCTGGAGAAATATTATAAAAAGGAATTTCAGAGTCAAGCAGACAGATATACAAGAGGGGGTCGAAGAGGTACTACACCGGGGCCACCAAGTGATTGTTTGTTTGTTGTTTAAAATGTAATATGTGTCTGATACACACATTATAGTAAAATAAGTCCAACATTATATAAGCAAAGATTAATATCCCCATTCTGGGGAGAGGTGAAGTCAACAGTTAATAAATCTACATTAAAAAAAAAAGATACAACTGTAGTGCCGAGAGAAGGGAGACGGAGGCGGTGCATCGGAGGTGCAAATCTCACTTTATTGGGGAGCTGAAACTGACATGCTGTCAGGTCGCAGCCGCAGAAGAGAAGAGAAAGTGAAAGGGACACACACACTGTAGGTACCCCGGAGGTACCGTCAACATATATGTCCGGGCGGAAACAATACCCCCAACCTGTAGTTCCATGCGTGAATTATGTACCCTAGTTAAATAGTGGTCACTACACAACCTCGTTTGTTTTTCTGAAAGAGAAGTATGCAGTACAAATGCAACACAGTCTCACAGCATTTCGTGTTATAGTCACGAAATTAATCTATTGATTCGTTTTCACCAACACGATTTCACAATTTTTTTCGTGTCACACGATTTTAAAAGCAGAAGGAAAGCAGAAGGAAAAACAGATAAAAAAAAAATACAGATTTCAGTATTCTGACACAGAACGATTTTAGAAGCAATGTATTTCTATTGGTAGTATGTTTCGTGCCTGCACCAAATAATAACAAATTAGAAGGAAAAAAAGATGACAAAAAATACAGATCTCAGTATTCTGAGGCTCTGAGCCCCATTTATTTTCCTCGTGGACGGCAAAAAAACTCAGACATTATACAATTTAAAATAAAATGGATAGTGTTAGGCTTAGGGTAAGATATTGAGTAAGAAAATGTATTTATGAACCACACAGCTTCTGGTATTCCAAGACCCGACCGGACAAAAAGACGTGGTGCTACGAAACATACTACCAATAGAAATACATTGCTTTTAAAATCGTTCTGTGTGACACGAAAAAAATGCGAAAATTGTGTTGGTGAACACGAATTAATAGATTAAATTAATTTCGTGACTATTACACGAAATGCCGTGAGACTGGGTTGACATATGTTATCAACACTAATACTTTGGCATGTTATGTAAGATGTGAAGTTAACACAAACTACTGAGATATATCACGTTAGGGCGAGACCTGGTTCTGAACTGCAGAAATATCACGTCTGAGAGCACTGTATACTGCGCAATCATGTTAGTCATCCAGCTGATTACAAACTTGCCACAGGACAGGATCTCTACTCGAGCACTGAGCTTGTCTAACTTCTTCAACTATGCTACATATATACATAAATCTCCATAAATTAAACTGGGAGCCAAATGAGATGCACCCATCTGAATTCATCCCCTCTTATAAACTGTGACAGAGAGTTGAGCTCTGAATATTGTGGCAATAATACCCGTGAGGGTGTTCTTTTACTGCGATTATAAGCATGACAGTGATGAAGCTACGCCTTATAGCCTACAATGATACGATCCAACTCTCCATAATCAGAGTCAAAAAGTCAAAAGGCCTCTGAGGTATCAGAAACTCTTCAGCTATCAAACATGTGTTTAAAGAGTTCATGTGCTGAAGTGAATCTCCAAACAGCTAAATTATCATGCAATAACGATTTAATCCTCCAAAACGTGTCATTCTTTTACACATACACTTCAATATGTTAAAAGGGGAATGCTAATTTCAAACAATACTCCTCCCATTTATTTCAACAGCTTCTGCAACTCAAAATAAAATACCAAGGAAGATGATAATATACCAATAGAGGTTTTTTACATGATTGACTGGCCTGCTCAAGCGAGCTACAGACGTCAAAATACAAGCACTGTCTGTCATTTTGACGAGTAAACACAAAGAAAAATGGAGGTTCCCTCTCTTAATTCCCTTTTAATGTCATGGTGTCATGCAGCTTGGACACAATAACACAAGTGATTGTGACGGAGACCCACCTGTATGTCCCAGGTCTTGAGTGTCCCCTCTCTATCAGCTGTGACTAAATATTTCCCGCAGGGACTGACGGTCATAACAATAGACCCCAGGTCGCTGTTGTGAGCTGTGAACTGTCCCACCAGACGGCTGTGGGCGCTGTTCCAGAGTCTGACCACACCTGAACCTCCACAGGACACCAAGTCTGCACCGCCTGTTGGAAATGTGGGAATATACAATGAATGCTTTACAATACAAACACACATTGTAGACTCAATCAGTGTGAGGAACAGGGTCTAGATGCTGATTGTTTACCTAGCAGCTACAGAGAGAAATGCATCAATCGCACTCAAATACAAAACTCAAGCATCCACAGGATATTTAAAATAGAGCCAGAGAGAAAATAGAGTTTTGAGGATTGCATATGAACAGAAGTACAAAATAAATAATTGGAAAACTTGAAGCAATTTCAGCAAATCCAACAATCATTGATGTGAAGCTACGCGGTAACAAAGCTCAACATACCCCAAGCCTTACTGTCTTAGTAACGTGCAAACACAGAGTGCATCTGTGTATTGCAACAATAAAAACAAGGCAGTATATGAATTTTATTTTGCATTTTAAAAAGGCTTTTGATTACAGAACTCTTTGAAGTAACTACACTGTGTTTTCATCAACAATAACTCTTCGAATTGAAGGCTATAACAAAATATCTCTCTATTTTGTGGAAGAATATACGTTTAAATAGGCTTCTGCTTTAAAATATTAAGGCAGAATCAACACATTTTTTGGATTTGAATTGATTTTAGTAAAAGGAATTTGGTTTGTATTTACTGCCTTTATTTTGGAGGAGCTCCTGTGTGGTACTTAACCATATCCCACATATTACAGAACCTATTTGAACAAATAAGACACAGGTTAAGGTTAAGGTTAAGGTTGATATGTGAACATGATATGAAAAAAAAGACAGATTCCTGAGGAAAAAATGCAGAATGAATCTCAGAATTCGGAGATTGAAAATGTTTCCATGTGGCCCTGGCTTCGGTAGGATTATTCAGTTCATTTTTAGTTTTCAATATTTCACCTTTAGGTGTGCGTCCCGGTATAAAGAACAGTCTAGTGACGGCGATGGAGATATCAGCATCTTCTTTGCCATTCACACCAAGATGAGTATCTGGGAAATCAGTATAGCAAAGCATTGAGAAATACAGAAAATGTAAGGAAAGAGCAACTGATCACAGAAAAGCATTTACTTCAAAGTTTCAAAATAAAATAATGTTGCATTCGTGTGTGAAATTGAGCCTTCTTGCCTTCTCTGTGTTCAGTAAGTGGCCGCAGTTTTTTCAAAGCATTTTCTGTGCTGCTGTTCCACTCGATAATCTCTCCATCATAGCTTCCTGCACACGAAGCAAAACATTGTGCAAAAGCTTATGATACATATTTAAAGTATTTTTATTGCGGTAAAAACACAGCAAAAACAGCCAGGCCGGGATCATATTGTTAAACAACAGTTATTATTATTTTTATAGATAAAACATCCCTGTTTGTCATCGGTTCACCTTGGCAAACAATGACGTTCCATATCCATTATTTTTCGCATAAGTTTCCTTACATGTGTCCATGGTCACGTTTCTTTACATGTGTCCATGGTCACGTTTCTTTACAGGTGTCCATGGTCATGTTTCTTTACAGGTGTCCATAATCACATATCCAAGAGGTGTCCATGGTCATGTTTCTTTACAGGTGTCCATAATCACATATCCTAGAGGTGTCCATGGTCATGTTTCTTTACAGGTGTCCATGGTCATGTTTCTTTACAGGTGTCCATGGTCATGTTTCTTTACAGGTGTCCATGGTCACGTTTCCTTACATGTGTCCATGGTCATGTTTCTTTACAGGTGTCCATAATCACATTTCCTAGAGGAGTCCATGGTCACGTTTCTTTACAGGTGTCCATGGTCATGTTTCTTTACAGGTGTCCATAATCACATTTCCTACAGGTGTCCATGGTCATGTTTCTTTACAGGTGTCCATGGTCACGTTTCTTTACAGGTGTCCATGGTCATGTTTCTTTACAGGTGTCCATAATCACATATCCTAGAGGTGTCCATGGTCATGTTTCTTTACAGGTGTCCATAATCACATTTCCTAGAGGAGTCCATGGTCACGTTTCTTTACAGGTGTCCATAATCACATTTCCTAGAGGAGTCCATGGTCACGTTTCTTTACAGGTGTCCATGGTCATGTTTCTTTACAGGTGTCCATGGTCATGTTTCTTTACAGGTGTCCATAATCACATTTCCTAGAGGAGTCCATGGTCACGTTTCTTTACAGGTGTCCATGGTCATGTTTCTTTACAGGTGTCCATGGTCATGTTTCTTTACAGGTGTCCATGGTCATGTTTCCTACAGGTGTCCATGGTCATGTTTCTTTACAGGTGTCCATGGTCATGTTTCTTTACATGTGTCCATGGTCATGTTTCTTTACAGGTGTCCATGGTCATGTTTCTTTACAGGTGTCCATGGTCATGTTTCTTTACAGGTGTCCATGGTCATGTTTCTTTACAGGTGTCCATGGTCATGTTTCTTTACAGGTGTCCATGGTCATGTTTCTTTACAGGTGTCCATGGTCACGTTTCCTTACAGGTGTCCATGGTTATGTTTCTTTACAGGTGTCCATGGTCATGTTTCCTACAGGTGTCCATGGTCATGTTTCTTTACAGGTGTCCATGGTTATGTTTCCTAGAGGAGTCCATGGTCACGTTTCTTTACAGGTGTCCATAATCATATTTCCTAGAGGAGTCCATGGTCACGTTTCTTTACAGGTGTCCATGGTCACGTTTCTTTACAGGTGTCCATGGTCATGTTTCTTTACAGGTGTCCATAATCACATTTCCTACAGGTGTCCATGGTCATGTTTCTTTACAGGTGTCCATGGTCATGTTTCTTTACAGGTGTCCCATGGTCACATTTCCTAGAGGTGTCCATAGCCATGTTTTCACTACTTCAACTGAAACTTGACCTTGTTTTCTAGCATATTAGAAGGGAGTTTTACTGTTGTCTACTATCATAACTTCGTACTCCATTAACTTTCGAAAGGTGAAGGACAGTTTACCTGAATCCACTAAAAGTTGCCTTTCGTTCAACCATGACACTCTTGGTTCTATCTACTTTTAACATTAGATACCTTAATGATCACATTCTGATTACTTACTACTACATTGTGTAACATTATATTTCATGCAAAATGTCTTGGTACATCAACAACCATTCTCCTTTTTCTTTCCTCGTGCTGTTGAATCATGCAAAACACCACTTATAAACCACTTTAAAAGAAGCTGAACGCCCGTCCCCAGCCACCATCTGTACCACCACACTCACCTCGTGAGAAAGTGCTTTTCAAATAATCTACATTATATATAAGCCAGTGTGTGTTTATTATATGAGGCAGGAATCTCATCAGGTGGCTGCAGTTGAACAGCAGGAGTTAATGAGATATGTGAGGAGTGGGTTAGCGATTGAAGATGTGTATGTGTGTGTGAGCAATAGGAGGTATAAAGTTTATGAGTGTGTGGGTCTTCTGCATTATTCATGCAGCCCACGGCCAGCGTCTGTATTTCAAATTACTTTTATCATGCCATGTGTGTGTTTGTATGATAGAGATTGAGAGGGATAAAGGAGGTGAAGCTATCCACATAATTCACACAATGGTTAATTATAAAATGGAGCTGGAATAACATTAAATTCATGTATTTCTTTCCTTGTCAACAACATGGAGCCTAATTTACCCACAATGCAACTTAGCTGCCGTCATTTCAGTGGACAAGCAGAGTTAAGAAGCCGGATACAGAGGTCTGGTAAGCAAACAATTGCATTATAGTATAGGCTATAGTGTTTTGGTAATTGTGGGGTCTAGGCTTTCTGAATATCAAACTTTAATTTGCCATATTTAGACAATAAATACATTTTTGAAGCTTGTAAAGACTGAGTGACAACTTTAGCAATCACCGCCGCCTCTCACTCTGGTCAGACTATTTTGAGATAAAAACCGTGAAGGATATCATTGGAAAGCTTAGAATTTCCTCTTTCCAATGGTGTTTACAACTCATATGTATTTAGGGGTCAGAGTGACTAAAAGCAGGTCACACAGACATAACCAAGTCAAACCTCCGAAAGGTTTTATTTAACTTTCCCCTTTAGCACACTAACTTGAAAAGAATGAAATATATAAATCAGATTCTCTTCTGCTTGAACAAAGTTGTCATTCAATGTTTCCTATTGCTATGCTGGCATTTCCATTTCTTAAAACATATTTGGCACCCCATCAAAGTTCAGAGGAGTTGGTCTCTTGGAAGGTGTTCAGCCATAGAGGATTAACGGATCCAAGGAGAGTAGTGAAAAGAAGGGGGGGGGTAGTGACAGAGTGAGGTACACAGGACCCCTGTGTACAAGTACCCTGCTGAGTGTGTGTGTGTGTGTGTGTGTGTGTGTGTGTGTGTGTGTGTGTGTGTGTGTGTGTGTGTGTGTGTGTGTGTGTGTGTGTGTGTGTGTGTGTGTGTGTGTGTGTGTGTGTGTGTGTGTGTGTGTGTGAGAAGCCAAGCGGAACCTAGCTCAGACTCTGAATATGGATGAGGAGGCTTCAGTCCCACATCAGCCAAACGCTCCTGCTTCTGCAACTTCATTAAACTTGGGACACACACACACACACACACACACACACACACACACACACTTGGTCCTGAGCTTGTGTGTGTATGTCCAAAATAACTTTAAATTGAATTTTTTCCCTGGTGGTCTTGATAGCACCACCACTTTCGCTTGGCACACAGCTACACGTGCCTTTGGCAGCATGCACGCTTGGATGTGAAAACGACATTACTCACTGCAACCCTGAAGAGATGTGCTGGCAACTGTAACTGATGCGTCATCGCTTCAAGACGATGTCTTTGTGCTCAGATTTGGGGATGAAAGAATTAGTCAAAAAAAAGTATCAAAGTAGACAAAAGCACTGCAATAGTTCACATCCACCTTTTGCTTCAGTTTACGAGTAGTACAAAAGATAAATAGTTAGTAATTCCTCACATTTGCCAATAGGCCAGAAAAATATCCAATAGGATATTAAAGCATAGGAGGAAGTTATGGTTATTTTTTTAAAGGGACCCTATTGTGCTAATTTGTTGTATTAGAGCACTAGCCAATAGAAGTGCGAGTATTACATAGTGATGTCATTATGTTCTGGAAGTAAACAAAAGACGTTTCAGGGGGAGTGTGTGGGAGAGAAACTCAGGGGTTCTAGCCTTTGCAGACCATTTACATGCACGAAAAACCTATATAACACATTACAGGAAAGGGAAAACCCCAAAAAGCATAATAGGGCTCCTTTTAACAGACATTGACAATGGTGCCAAAAAAAGTAAGCTAGGATATGTGTAATAGAATAAAATGAAACAGAGCGTAAAATAAAATAATAATACTATCAAAAAAGACTGTTGATCTAAGGATTCCATTTCACCAACACACTTTGATAATACATTTGACTTATTGTGAAGTCTGCTTTCATTTAAAACAAAATGTGATGAGAGTTTCTGTGTATTCTCTATTCTACAATAATAACAGAAAAAGTCACTTTCATGACTTAAATTAAGAATGAGGGCTCACGCAGAGAAGAGATGGAAGAAGGGAAAAAATAACAAAGCCTTGGATATAAAAATGAAATAAATATAAAATCTTCAGTGAAATGAAATATAACTGGGAGCTGTTATCTGCTGATTAAAGTAAGTGGTGTTGTTATCAAAGGAATGAGCTTCACACGTTGCTCAAATGGCTTCATCTTTTATGTGTGACTGGGAACTTTGAAAATAACTTTTATTTTAATATTTCACAATCGACAGTAGTGCATTTCAGCGTCGATCCTTAAATGACAGGCCATTTTCATTAAATAGGCACAATACAATAAGATGATACAGGTATAATTGAATTGAAAATGATCCAATTAAAACCTGTCAGGTTTGCTTTTGTCCTTTGTCACGCTGCTGAAAGACAAATATGCTTTTTAAATTATATAAATCAGTATTTCATTCCTAAGAGCAACAATAGCTTCATTAATTTCTCTTTTTTCTGAGCTGACATTTTCCCTCACCACAGGCTGAATCCTTTACTTGTCAGAGCCCATTAATTGGCAAGCTTCATCCTAATTAAGTTCTTAATTAGGACGTATTAAGAGCAGGTGAAGTGGAAAGGTCACTATACTATATGATATATCTTTTTTTAAACGACATACAGTACTCTGCACGAGTCTAATGAGAAAGACAGATCAGGCAGTTTATTTCCAAAGAAAAGTTTCGATAGGAAAGATAGGATCATGAATTGATTTCATTTTCTCTGCTATCAATCACTCCCTTTCTTATTCCACTACTGAGTTTATACAAACTTTGGTATGCGTTTACAAAGTTTGTGAGCATGACTTTTTTACAGGTTTTTATGGTTTTGGTGCTTCATCCTGTTTGGCAAGCTATGTCACATCAAGAAACCGCATTAAACATCTTAACAAAAGATAAGCAGAACTATTACACAGCTTAGTTAAATACTTGCTTCTCATTGGTCAATTTGGACATTCCAGAGGTCTGTTATTTTTAGAAGACCGTTGCTAAGGATAGCAGACTGTTGATAAGAAGGCCCCTCTGATCAAGGGACTATGTGCAGTCATATCAATCCGCAGAAATAAGTCCGGTCAATTTAACGTCAGCTGTGAACAACAAACATTATTTTTCTCTGTCAGACAACACCATGGAGGACTTTCAAAATATATATGTTTATATTTGTGGAGAGCAGGAAACGTTGGATTCATGATCACTGAACTGTCCCCAGCTAAGAAAAGAAGTAGAGCGCAAGAGAAGGAAAGTGGATACAAGACAGAGGGTGTTTCTCAATGTCAAGGAAGGATGCAGAGCCACTATTTCAAGGATGCTACGTCATCGAGTCCCGCCGAAGGACTGTTCCAATGTCCAGGCTCCTTGGAATTCTACCGAGCCCGGCGTCCTTCGTAGAGAGACATTTCGAGGCTGCACATGTGTAGACTCCGCGGTCTTAAAATCCCCACAATGCTTTGCGCACGGACCAATTTCCAAAATCTTTGGCGGAAATCGTGCTCCATTTAAGGCGAGGCCTCGCATATGACGCACACCTGTTAGCCTGTTCCACATTTCTTCGTTTTCCGAGGCTAGGAAGGATTCTTGCCTCGCTTCTGAAGGACCTGACTCGGAAGACATGTCCTACCAATGAAGCATCCTCGACATTGAGGGGTGTGTGTGTGTCTACAGAAGGTCCAGTTGTGATAGACACGGTTCGCCACTGGTAAACACTAACAGGAACACAGTATTGGCTCTGGTGTGTTTAAAGATTGGTTAATGGAAAAGAAAATATGAACAGACTTGGACAGTTACAGAAAACCTCGATCACTGCTGCCGTCATTTTAACTTACTTTAGTACGCAAACATACTTTAAAATGCCAGGAAGGCGCCACAGCTTGTCACAAAGATCTTTCTGCCAGAGGGATTGAACTGACAGTCCTCCAGTAACTGTCCACTTCCATAACCATCAAACCACAAACACTCTGGACCGTATTTACTCTTTAGTTTAAAAAGTTGTATCACTTCACCTCACGCTCTGGAAGTTCAGTTTGAGTTTACCGGTGTGTGTGCGAGCGCAGATATAAACCGCAGACCTCCTCTGGCCTTCTGGGACGTGTCAACATTAGAGATAAGTATAGAGAGTGAAAAATGGAGGTGGGAAGGTAGATAAGAGTGGATGTTTTTCTAAGCTGGAGGGAGAAATGGTTCGGAAGGAAATGAATAGCATGGAGCTGGAGCTGGAGCTGGAGCTGGAACAAAAAGCCAGTTTCACGTGTGTGTGAACCTGGAAACTTCTTCAAAGTGAACTCCCCGATTTCTCTGTCAGTGTGTTCAGCTCCCCTCCGCCAGCTTCCTCCAACTGACACTCCCAGTTATTCTTCACCACTCCATAGTTAGACTGATGCATTTCTTCCTCCCACACACACACACACACACACACACACACACACACACACACACACACACACACACACACACACACACACACACACACACACACACACACACACACACACACACACACACACACACACACACACACACACACACACACACACACACACACACACATACACATACACATACACACACACACACATTGCCCCGCGCTGCAGCCTCCACTACCAATTTAATCCACAATTTAAATTATGTTTATTAGCGCTCTCTCAGTGGGAGTGAGGGGAAATGAGACTTATGTATTTCGTGTGTGCGTGTGTGTGTGCGTGTGTGTGTGTGTGTTTGTTTGTGTGTGTGTGTGCAGGCAGTATGAGAAAAATAAAGACCCTTTTGAAAGCATGTCACAGTAGAGACACAAAATACAAATATGAACCTGAAAATGATCAAAATATTTACTCTTTAAATATATTGTATGTTGTATTCTCATAGGAGGTCTGGGACTTCAGATGTTCATTGCCAACAACTACGCTAGCTTTTGGGTATATTTCAATAAAATGTTCTTCAAGTGCTAGTAATACACACACACACACACACACACACACACACACACACCTGTGACCAGCGTCTGTGGAGGCTGGAAGGCGGCACAGAGCACGTCGCTGCGATGCTGAACGCCTCCCTTCCACTCTGACGGCTCAACGTAAGACTGAGAGAAGGAATGCAGACGGAAAACTGTGAACATCCTGCAGAGAGAACGAAGGAGAAGGAGAAGGTAAGGTTCAGAGGTTTGTGTTTTCAATAGAAACCTCTTAAAGACTTTCTTTACTGTATATTTTTGGTGAACAACATGGACACACAAACACTGTACATCCTATTTCTACCACAGCATAAAGAGCAAGATGTACCAGAAAGGAGGACAAGGAGCATCACCTGTAGCCACACACACTTTAAAAAGCCTTATAACACGGCTTAGTTGAATACTGAATTGTAATTGATCAATTTGGACATTCAGAAGTCTGCTTTTTTTGTGCTAGAAGACCGTTGCTAAGGAAGTGCAGGTACATCAAATGAAAAAACATGTATCATTCTGAAGAATATGTGAAACAGTAGGATGCTGTGTTTTCAGCCTGTGTGAAATGGTGTGAGCAGCAGAGGGTCAGCAGCAGTCTTTGATACGACGCCACGAGACACACAGCGCAACATGGATTAAAGTGAGCTCGAGGTGTGTGAAGGAAACAGGAAATAATACGATTGATGAAAGTCATAACGGCTGTATTTTCTTTCACTGCTGATGATCTGTCTCCCATGTTCTCTTTACCGTGACACCCCCCTGTGTGTGTGTGTGTGTGTGTGTGTGTGTGTGTGTGTGTGTGTGTGTGTGTGTGTGTGTGTGTGTGTGTGTGTGTGTGTGTGTGTGTGTGTGTGTGTGTGTGTGTGTGTGTGTGTGTGTGTGTGTGTGGGGGTATTAGTGTGTGGGGAGGACACAGAAAGAAGAGTCGTATAACTTGATGATGGCACACTGCTGAGATCAGCTCACTGGGTCCAGATGTCTTATGGCTTTGAGTCGTAGGCAGGCAGACGGAGCAGGAGAGGGCAAACATACACACACACACACACACACACACACACACAGCCGACCCGGCGACTGACAAACAAGTAACTTTGCCAATAGTGTTTGCTCGTCTTTGCCCTCTCTTGACTTCAAAGGAATTTGTTGACTTTATTTTTTTCAGAAGTTTGGTGTGTTGTAAATCGGGGCGGTCTACGTTAATGCGTTAATGCTTGCAATTCATTATGTAAAACTTAACATGTGATTAAAAAAAATAACGCAGATTAATTACATGACCAAGTTTGAACCAAATTTCCAGCATGGATGTTTACCATGGATCAAATGACAGTGACAAGGCAAAGAAAGCAGAGGAATCAGCACAAGAGACATGTGTTACACTGACTGGAGACCACTGGACATCAGTAAGAACCACCTTTGGTATCTACTGGTTCTTTAGGTGAAAAGGAAGTGTCACAGGAGTGTGAGATAGTGGACAGAGTCACCACTGTAGGAGCAGATAGTGCTGCAGTAGAGATAATATGCTCTGTCTAGCACACATTATACAGAGGGGAATAACAGTGTTTTTTCCGGAAAACTGTCAGACTTCATTCCAATATTTCAGAAATCATGTTATAATTAAAGTAACAAACCCTCTGATGTCTCTTTCCAGTTTGCCATGTGTTTCTTGTATTAGTAAGCTCACAATACTAAAACGTAAAGGCATCAAAACGCACCACAGTACCTGTCCCAGCCCATCACCAGCACACTCCTCCTCAGCAGCAGCACCTGTGAGATGTCCACAGATCGACCCAGGCCGGCGTTCATTCTGTGGAGGCAGCGGCCATTGAAGTCCCACACCTGCAACATACATAACACTATAAGCTATATATCTATAAGGGGTAGTGGTGGTCTAATGGATAGTGAGGTGGGCTGAAGATCGGAAGGTCAAATCCCGCCAGGAACACCACCACTAGTGTGCCCTTGAGTAAGGCACTTAGCCCTTAGTTACTCCAGGGAGAATGTCCCTGTAATTGTAAGTCGCTTTGGATAAAAGCGTAAGCTAAATGAAATGTAATGTAATGTATAAATATCAACTCCGGGTGCGGCGTGTGGCGCAGTGGATAGAGCCTTGGTGTTGGGATCAGGGGGTCACAGGTCCAAACCCCACTGCAGTCAGCATGTCGTTGTGTCCCTTCACCCCAAATTGCTCCTGTGGGGATTGCCCACAGTATTGAGTATGTAAGTCGCTTTGGATAAAAGTGTCTAACAAGTAACATGTAATGTAATAAGCAACACAAATAGGCCCAACTCTGCATGTCACGCCCTTTTGCAAAATTCACTTTATTATCTTATCTGTAAAACCAAGAGGTAACAGAAATAGGATCAGTATTTTCTTAAACGATGTCTTAGGGCTTTTATTTCAAGAAGAAGATCTTTAAAAGAGAATGTTGTTTGCATATAAATCCCCCATCCTACCACACATCCATCAAACATGGCAGCACAGGTAATATTTCACACCAATTTGTTCAATTTTGTGTTGTGGCATTTAACAAAGAAAAAAGCTGATTGGCCCGATGGGAACACTGTCGTTAAAAGGTCATAATATTTCATTCTGAACCGCCTGAACTGCAACACCGCAGGTTCAGCGTTGATGAAAATTGGAGAGAGGATGCATCGAGTTGCTATTTGCCCAATAGGCCTACCTGAGGCTGCTTCACATGCACAGGATGCACAAGGCTGCATCCTCACGAGGACTCCCGGTCAGAGAGCTGATGTGGTTGATTATATTGATTACCATGTGCATAATTACTGCACTCATCTGTTGAGAACAATTACACTGAGCATCGAGTCAGTGCTTGAATGTGGAATAATTCACAGAGCACCACACGTTTTAAATTACGACCAAATTTGAAAATTAAAGGAAAAAAACGCAAGAAACGATTCTGCCAAGAGAACACACACACACACACACACACACACACACACACACACACACACGCATGTTGTAATTAGGACGACAGAAGAGGCTTTTATTTTTTCTAAAATGCAAAATAATTAGCATTAATATGCATCTCTCGTGCAAAAGCATAAAAAATATCCAAAAATGTTATCAATCAGTTAAACTCGCTGCAGTGGCTAGGCTAGCTGCAGCCAAGTAACGTACAGTAGGTCAAGCTGTAATGCTAGCTATGGATACAAAGGAAATTAAAGAGGCCCTATTATCTGTTCTGGGGTTTTCCTTTTCCTGTAATGTGTTATTTAGGTTTTTGTGCATGTAAATGGTCTGCTAAGGCTAAAATCCCAAAGTTCCCTCCAGAAGGGGTTTCTCTCCCTATGTCCTCTTAAACAAAACATCTAACAAAATAACGTACAAGAGTAACAACCCCCAAATGTTTGTTTGTTTATTTTTACAACCCTTTCAATACTTAGATGATGGCAAAACTGATTCACAGTTATGGCGCAGTTCCACTGCAGCGCGGAGCTCGCTTTAAGCGTGCCGTGTCGTGCCGTCCCCTTTTTTGGTTGTGCTTCCACTAGGCCTAGTTTCGGCGCGGCACGGCGCGGGGCCACTTTTTCACCTCTTTTCTGGCCCTAGAAAATTGTGGTTCTATCGGGGCCAACAAACAGGGCTGAGTCGGGCTGAGTATGCTAAACTAGAGAGAGGAGCGCTGGCAAGAGGGCTAGAACTACAACAAGATGGACATATTTGACCGTGATTTAATTGTAATACACGTTTCAAAATGATGCCGAAGTAACAACATACTGATACCGGTTAGTAAAAACCATGAATTAATGCTTTGACAAGTCTGCAGACAGACGGCAGGCGAAAAACCTTTTAAAATGCGTGTTTTTCTAGATGGAGATTGGCTAAGCTAACGCAGTATATGCTCTGACCGTCCACACTCACAACAACGGCCTATACAGACATAAATAAAGCAGCGATTGTATTCACCATGACACAGGCAGTCTGTGGTGTGTACTTGTTTAACTTTTGTCTAGTTTCTGAACATATATAAGGAGCTGTGAGCTCTGAGTGCTAACAGCTAACGGCTGTGTTGTGTTTCTGGAGTTCTCATTGAAGATGACGTCACGGCTCCGCCTACACTGCGTTACTATAGTAACTACCCCAGTTCCTAAACTGTAATGGAAGCGCAGCATGAAGTGAGTCGGCCCTGTTAAGGCCCAACGCGGCCAAGCCGTACCGAGCCGTACCGAGTGTGGCCGAGGCCGACCGTGTAGTGGAAATGCGCCATTAGAGGGCATGAAGGATAACAAGAAAGTTACAAAGCCTATTTCCATTGTGACCTTGTGTTTGCCCATAGACATCGTAGCATCATCAAAGCACGAAAAACTCATCATAATGTAAAATCCCTAAACTATTCTTAAAAAATGACCAACTCATTGACTTTACCACTGTTTGAGGTTTTTTTACGGATTTACATTTCAGAGTTTCAGTTTTTATATGCCAACTGACCTGCGGCTATACGGTCTTAACTTGAGTGTGTGTGTGTGGGTGTACGTGTGTGTCCACCTACTTTGACCTCTCCATCAGCGCCCGCAGTAAACAGCCGGGTCTGCGTACCGTCCAGGGCCATAGTGGAGATCTCTGCGTTTCCATGGCAGCGGCGAAACTGCTTGACCTTTTGGCCCGTGTCGACGCGCCAGCAGATCACAGAGGAGGCCGAGTCGCTGCTGACGGCCTGCAGAGAGAGAGGGAGAGAGGGGGTTGAGAGAGAGAGGGGAGAGAGAGAGAGAGAGAGAGAGAGAGAGAGAGAGAGAGGAGAGAGAGAGAGAGAGAGAGAGAGAGAGGAGAGAGAGAGAGAGACAGAGGAGAGAGAGGAGAGAGAGAGAGAGAGAGAGAGAGAGAGAGAGAGAGAGAGGACATCCATCATCAGAGAGAGTTTGATCCTCTCCACGCTGCCTGAGAGAGAGCCGGGCTCCACTGATGTTCTCTGTAAAGCAGAACAATTCATCGTGCTTCGTTACACTCTTATTTTAGTGCTAAGCCACTAATGAAAGTATGCGACTAATGCTGCTGTCAAGTGGGAATAAAAGCAGGAGTATCAAGAGTGAATATGCACTCTTTTAACATTTTTATATTGAATGCAAGAGCTATCAACAGAGAGAGGGAAATAGATGAATATGAAAGAAATAGAAAGTCTCCGTTCAGCTGCATACCTGTCTGAACAGACTGTTGTACAGCACACAGGTGACAGGGTGCTCATGGCTGCTACTCCTCTTCTCCTCCTTCCTCTCCAGCAGGAGAAGCAGGCTGTTGAAGGAGAGAAAGAGGAGGTGCTGCTCCTCGTGGAGAAACAGGAGTGTGTGTGTGTCCTCCTGCGTCTTTGGGAAGACTCCGGCCAGACGGTGAACACACAGCTGACGAGAAATATCCCACAGACACAGGACCTGGAGAATGTACAGAAAGATTACTTTAAATGAACTTACTCAAAAGAGGATTAGGCCAACATGTGCATTTTTTGAGATCCGACCAACATTTATTTTGTCCGAATTTTGAAGAAATAAGTGAGATATTTTCTGAGAATTTTGAATTTTTGCTCCAAATTCTGACTTGTTTCTTAGAATTCTGAAATGTTTGTAAGATCTACATGTTATTGTAACTGGTGGGTTTTCACGTGCTGTAGTGGTAGAAGCTATAAGCACCGCAGATAACTATAAAAGACTATAATAATTATCACAAGACATTATCCTCCTGAGACCCAGAAAGAAAAAGGTTTCAAAATTCCTTTTTTTTTTGATCACACAAGTCTTTAGGGTGTTATTAACATAATGACTAACAAAAACTAAACAAATATATTTGTATTTTTGTTTTATTGTGTGTCCTCTGTAGAGGACATCAGGTGTTAGTTATCCGAAGCATAGTATACAAACAACATTAACATAGTACATTTAGACAACATTAGAGCACAACAACTCAATGCAACAAATTAGCCCTCATTTGTAGTACTCCATCCTTTTTTTAAATGCAGAGATACAGCTGACACTTGATGTATGTTTTCCCACTGCATCCGTCTGCCATGAACCCTACAGAAACCTACGTGTTAGTTTGGCCCATAGTGGACTCCATGTGTGTTGTGTAAAATGAGGGAAATAAAAAGTTAGCAAATCCCCATGTCCTCCTCAGAGGACATTCATAAAAACATTTAGTTTTAGGTCAAATAATTATTACACTGCTCTGAGACTCACTACACTAACTCATAAGATGTTCCCTTACTATAATTAATAAAAATATTGAACTCACAACATTGGTAATTACAAAATTACAAACTTACCATTTCTCTTTCTATAAATAGTGCTTGTGTTGATGGACGCCATTTTGAAATACAATGAAATTATCTTTTTCAAAGCCACACCCCCACATATGTCACATGTCTGAAAAGCCCAGGATGTCCTCTGTGGAGTACAATTGGACTTAATGCTGCTGTGGCATGTATAACCTCATAGTTATGGACCAAAACCCAATGTGCTCCACAGAGGACACAAATTAATGTGTGGGTCTCTGGAGGATAACTTATAGTAATTACAGAAAAAATACAATATTTGCCAAGAAGAACTCTAGCAGTGCCATTTAGTCACAACTCACAAGAACTCTGCCATTTTGCTTGAGGACACAAAACAAGAGAACTGTCGCTGTTCCGGGAAATCTTCCGGAAGAAACTGAGTTAAAGCTTTTAGAGTTTCTCGCAATGGCAGATGGTGTTTGAGCAGAAGGCAGGTGAAACATAAATTGCTTGTGAAATATTCATCATCTCATGAAAATCAAAAGAGAAAGCTACAAGCGGGGCGAGGAACAGCAGCAACATCCTCTCTGCATCAGAGAGAAGAAAGAAAAAGTGATAGCTCTTATAACAGCAACAGTGTGAAATAGGCTTCCAATCACCTGCACCATGGCGTCCTTCCTCTGCAGTAATTATAGCCAGGTATCACAATTAATATTACAGCGCTCTTCATCATTATCTGTTCTAGCAGAGAGACACACACACTCCTACCTTATCTTTGGAGTAGCTGATCAGTTGTTGCTCGGCCTGCATGAAGCGGACTGCAGTGACGGGGCCGGTGTGTCCGCTGAGCACACACACCGGCCCCGAGGTCACACACGGGTTCCACAGCAACACCTGATGATCCACACCTGCTGTGGCTGCAACCAGAGACGGCAAAAGTACACACATCCTTTACTCGAGTAGAAGTACAGATATTCGAGTTTAAAAATACTCTGGTAGAAGTAGAAGTACTGACTAAACTTCTTTACTCAAGTAAAAGTAAAGAAGTATGGGCTTCGAAATGTACTTAAGTAAAAAGTACCCATAACTACCATCTGTTTTAAAGAGTACCTGACCTCCCTTTATATTAATAGAACAATAATGTCATTGTTAGCTAATGAATGTTTCCATGCTGAACAACGGCAACATGACAACGTTTTCATTGGTCCCTCTTCTTTAGAGAAGACCAGGAAATGATGGATACACGGATCGTGTTCAAATCAATAGGCACGCAATGACTCTAAATAATAATGATCACGCCACCAAACACACATTCAAACTAAAGGAACCAGCCTGTTTGGAAAATGTATTTACAGGTATTTGTGTTCAAAATGTAAGAAGTAGAAAGTACAGGTATTTGTGTTCAACATGTAAGAAGTAGAAAGTACAGGTATTTGTGTTCAAAATGTAAGAAGTAGAAAGTACAGGTATTTGGGTTCAACATGTAAGAAGTAGAAAGTACAGGTATTTGTGTTCAACATGTAAGAAGTAGAAAGTACAGGTATTTGTGTTCAAAATGTAAGAAGTAGAAAGTACAGGTATTTGTGTTCAAAATGTAAGAAGTAGAAAGTACAGGTATTTGTGTTCAAAATGTAAGAAGTAGAAAGTTCAGGTATTTGTGTTCAAAATGTAAGAAGTAGAAAGTACAGGTATTTGTGTTCAAAATGTAAGAAGTAGAAAGTACAGGTATTTGTGTTCAAAATGTAAGAAGTAAAAGTAAAAAGTCGTCAGAAAAATAAGTAGTGGAGTAAAGTACTGATACCAGAAAAATGTACTTAAGTACAGTAACGAAGTATTTGTACTCCATTACTTCCCACCTCTGGCTACAACCAATCAGAACGTCCCAAATTGGCAGAGAATCTAATTCATTGCAGTATGTCTATGTGTTGTATGTATTAAATGCCTGTGTTGGTTAGCACGGTTGAATATAGTCTCAAAACCAAAGCCTTTTTTATGCATACATACACACATCTATTATAAAGCATAGAGAGTCATTGCAGCCGTCAAATCCTTCATTAAGCATTGATTCTTTCATTGGGTGGATTCCAATTTGCTCTTTCGTTACTCTCTAAGAAACAGTTGGGGATTCAGTATAAATGAAATTAACTTGAGTGGACAAACATAACCTTTTATTTAAAAAAAAAAAAACTATTAATATTATTTTGATAAGAGTAAGGGATATAAGTCTGACTGCACATTGGTCCTCACCTATCAGATTGAGTTCACGGTGGTGGTCCATGTCCCACACACCTCTCTTTGTGAAGAAGGAAGTGACTCGTAGACTCCTGCTCTCCTTCTCCCTCCAGCCAATCACCACGCTGCACTGCGGCCGCGTGCTGCACGACACAAAGGCCTCCAGCGAGCCCAGGTAACGCACTGCAGGAGAGAGGTGGAAAGTGAAAGGAAATTAGGAGTTACAGAATAACAATCAAGTATCACAAGAATATTCACATATATTGTTTGTGGTTGTGCATTTCAATTCAATCTGAAACTGCAATTATTTTGCAGAAACTGACACAAAACTGGGTCTTCCAAGCAGCCCCTCTCTGTGGAGCAATAACGCAGCAGAAGTTACCAGCAGAGGGAATAAATTACTTTTAACTGCAACAAATTCAATGCAAAACAACATTGCAACATATTTTGATGATGACACGCCGTCCATTAGTTACTTCATCCTTCTGATGCCAAAATGTTTTTCATTAGCAGACGTCTGAAGGACATTTACTCTGTGCTAAATGTGCATTGACCGCAGCCCTTCTGTAATATAGTAAACCAACCAATTGTCAGGCGCTCAGCACAGCATAGAATTAGTTTGATTTGCTCGCTGGTATTACAGAAAATCTAATGGATCTTGCATCACCATCTGTCTCAATTAACACTTTGATTGAAAACAGCTAAATTGGATGCTGCACATCTCCATTAGAGGCTGCTTGGCTTTCAAATACTGCACAAATAAGTGCGGCTTGTGAGACGGCATGTGACAGTCGCAGGTCAAAAGATCGTCCGCTTTGCTGAAGCAAATAATTACGACTGATTGCATTTCATACTCCACGTCTTTCCTCCGGCCTGTGAAAATGAAAGATCAGTGGATTTTCTGACACTGTCGCATGACTTATCATTGATTAATGAGGCCTCCTCTCTTTCACCGATACACACCAATCATACATCTAGTTATTTGTGAACCAGGCCGGCATACAGAACATCTGCTAGAGCCAGGTTTGTATGTAACGGCACATTTGTATTGCTGTGAGTGTGTAATTTAAAAAAGGGCAGCACTTAATCAAAGCAAACCTCTTTTGTTCTGCATCAAATTGTTGCACATTTCGGGAGATTTTACCAACACAGGGCTTAATCCGACCATCCATCCATCCATCCATCCCTCCATCCATCCATCCATCCATCCATCCATCCCTCCCTCCCTCCCTCCCTCCCTCCATCCATCCATCCATCCATCCATCCATCCATCCATCCATCCATCCATCCATCCATCCATCCATCCATCCATCCATCCATCCATCCCTCCATCCATCCATCCATCCCTCCATCCATCAAACCATCCATCCAAACATCCAACCTACTCCGAGTCCCTCCCAGATGCCAGCCCCCCTCTGGAGGAAACCAATTGTGGCCGCTTGTTTCCGCAATCTTTCGGTCATGATCCATCGTTCATGACCCTAGGTGAGAGTAGGAACCAAAATGGGTCAGTAGATTGAGACTTCGTAAAACTCCGATTCTCCAAGCCCATCTCACGCTCCATTGTCCCCTCACTCGAGAACAAGATGCAGAGATTGTTGAACTCCTTCACTTGGGGTAAGGACTCATTCCCTATACTCGGAGTGGACAGCCCTTCGTTTTCCTGCTGAGAACCATAGTCTCAGAGATTAGGAGGTGCTGATCTTCATCCCGTCCGCTTCACACTTGGCTGTGAACCGATCCAATGAGTGCTGAAGGTTGCAGACCGATGACGCTATATAAGAAGAACATCATCTGCAAAAAGCATGCAATCCATAGCCCACCAAACCGCCTCCTGAGACTACGCTTTAAAATCCTGTCCTTGGAGATAATTTCTTTGGTTACAACATATGTGGGTATGTTAGTGTCTTTCTCTTTCACAGACACACACATTCAGAGCTCTACTTCCTTATCTTTACAGATCTGTGTCTGTCCCAATTTCCTCCTAATTTCCTCTCTGTTTCCTCCCCCCACTTTCTCTCTGGTGGCCTGTGAGCCTGAAGGTTTGGAGGTCTAAATAACCAGCCATGTCTAATAGTACACAGTCTACTGCAGGGCGGACAACTTCAAAAGGACAGCACCAGCACCCAGAGGTATTCAAACACACACACATACAGTCACACAAACTCCCTCATTCCCCTATACACACAGCAGACCTTAACACACTCGCTTGTTGTTTCAAACACACAGCCTGAACATTTCAATTAAGCAGTGCTTTTTAATGTTCTGGCACTATCTCCTCTGTTTCCCCCTTTTTTTGTTTCCCCTTTGTTTCCCCATTTGTCGTGCTTATTTAAATATTTTTTCCCCTCCTTTTATCAGGATCCCCGCTCTCAGCCAAGCTGCTCTCAGAGCGCTGAGTCATTATCAAACAGCCCAATGACTGTTCAGAGGGGCTCCGTGCGAATGATGCAATCCAGATACAACTAAAGCGACGGCGTTGGAGTCTCAGGAGGCATGACCTCCAGCCTGTGACTTTATGCCAATAGTCGAAAGCCTGGCTATATGCAAGACTCTAAAGTGGATGACTCAGGACCCTGCATGTGTGTGTGTGTGTGTCCCTCCCAAGCGTTTTCATGCTGTTGCATAAGCCTCTTGTGAGAGATACTGAAAAAAAATGAGCAAGCGATCAAAGACAGTGGCTCTCCTCCCAGGTGTGAAGGTGAGAGTTTGTGTTTGTGATGCCCAGGGTCGATTCTCCTTCGTCTGACCCAATGATTGTGTATCCTTGCTTTCATTCTGTCCCACGAATTAAAACGTATTTTCACCCGAGGCCCCAAAAGAGTGCCGCGCTAACTAATTGAAAATAAAAGGGTTTAGGGTTCCTTTAGCCAGCATGAAACTCATTTTGAAACCCAGACTTTAGGATATTTTGGCATGTTGCGTTACATTGTATTTCGTTTAGCTGACGTCTTATCGAAAGCGATTTACAATAGTGCAATAAAACATAAATATACAATCCCAGAACAACAACAAAAATGCATATGTATTCACTTTAAATAGCCCAAAGTTCTAGTGATTGGTATCAAATGTGCTAAACCCTTTGAGTGCTATTTATTTTATTTTTTTTATTAAGGGACAAGGTACTAGAGAAACAGGTGGGTTTTCAGTTTGCGACGAAGATTTGTAGACATTTTGCTGTCCTTAAATCCATGCGGAGCTTACCCACCATTTTGGAACGAGATGAGAAATACAAGTAAATGCAAGTATTTTAAACTTCACGACATTCTTATGTGCATTTGAACAAGTTGATCTGGCTCATTAAAAATATGTTTCTTTATATATATGTGTGTGTGTGTTAGTGTGTGTTCTTACCTTTCCTGACCCAGGCAGGTGTGTGTGCTCGGTGTGTCACAGTGTAACAGGAGCGATGCTTTCCTCTCACCAGCTCGTCCCATTGGATGATGTCTGCTGAATCTGAGTCCGTCCTCACATTAAGTCTCTCAAACAAAGAGATCTGAGCTGAGGTGAAATATAAAGCACTGACCTGGGAACACACACACACACACACACACACACACACACACACACACACACACACACACACACACTTGTGGAATAATGGACTGTCTGCTCTGTTGTGGTTGGTCCACCGTTTATTATTCCGTGTATTACCTGTCCTCCGATGTCTCCTATGGTGAGGACGGCCTGGTCCGGGTCAGAGGGATCCACCCAGTAATCCAAACACCAGGGAGTAAACATCAAACCCTCGAGAAGAGAAGAAATGTGTGTGCAATTATTTTAGTGCATGTCAATACACACTTTTCTCAGGTATATACACTTTGGATAATCAATATCAAAAGTGTGATACAACGGTAGAAACTGCGCAAACCAACAGAAACATCAGGGTATAGTCACCTGGAGTTTATACTTGCACCTGAAGTCCTGGTGTGACAGAATGTCATAGAAACAAACCTCCTTACTTGTGAAAGACACAGCTATCTAAAAAATGTATTGGAAACAAAGATACATTAGGAAAAACAGCAAATAAATGTATCAATAGATATATAAAATAGCAATTCCTCTGACTAATTATTCATGCAAAACTGGAAAGTCTTCATGTGGGTTATGCAACAAAATTATTTCTGTCACCAGCAAATCTGCGGGATAAAGAATTGCTAGTGAAATATGTTCAATAATTGATGGTCTTATTACTGAATGTGTATTTCTCTAAGCATTATGCAGTGGCTTCATGTCTGCAATGTCATTATCCAAAACCACTGATCAATAATTCATTGATTGAGAGGAATGCTTGTTTGCGTCTGTACCGTACAACATCTGCCCCAGTAACTACTACAGACTACTTATGTTATTCAATTCTTACCAAAACCGTTGTTTAAACTATGTCACAACATAACCAGGGAAACAGGAAGTGTTTGTACCAAGTGATCACGAGTGAAAGTCACCTTGTGTGCGTTGTGCAGCAGCACCATGTCCGTTACCCAGAGGTCTTTGGGTGTGACCGTGCTGTTTTGCAGTCGATGTGTGTGCAGGAGGGACATGTCCTCTCTGTCCCGCAGACACACAGTTCCTCCTTTACTCACCGTCAGATACTGACCTAAACTGTGCAGGTACAACACCTGGAGAGACATCGCAAAACAACAGCATCGGGTGAGATTTTAGTGTTTTCAGACTATTTACATGCACAAAATTCTAAATTAAAACACTACAGGAGAGGAAAAAACCCAAACATTGTAGAACCTCTTCAAAATATATATCAGTTTGAAGAAGTTCCTGCTTCACTTCAATAACTTCTTCATCTTAAATCTTCCTCTTAGTGTAAGTGAGTGCATGTTCTTCTGTGTTACACAAAAAGGCTTAATGAATGATGCCATTTTATTGGCTAAGCTACGAGAATAAAAGAACTGAGAGCAGCAGTAAAAGGGCTTGAGCTGAGAGTGTCTGAGAGAAAGAAGAGGTTTATTAATACTTAAGAAAAGAGGTCAGGGCTGAGATATACTACCAATGTAATTACTGCAGAGTCAGTTCCCACAGCCGACTGCACGCTTGATAGGATCTCTCAGATTGGCGTGTCATGTATTTATCTCTAATTGTTCTAATTACATATTAATCAACAATGGTTTGCATAATGGTATGAGTCTCGGGCGGCTTTTGTTCTCACATCAACCAAATGGGGCACTGACAGTTCGCCTGCTGTTTATTGCTTTAATGAATAAATACAAATATCTCTCAAACCTGACATTGTGCATATGACATTCAAAATTATAAATTGTTATATCCCAGTTAAAATTGCAGTGTGCTCAAAGTCTACTTTGTTTTAAATGGCAGTAGATTCCTATTTAGCTTGCAACATGTTAGCAAAGACTTGCCTGTTCAATATCTCGGCAAACATGGAGACATTTTATTGCTAATTTGGTGTTTCTAGCCACCTGACACATAAAAGTCAGATATTCACTTTCATTTTAATTCAGTTTTAGTCTCCACCAACTGAAGTGGTTCACTACAAGCAGGGGCGGACTGGGACTAAAAATCAGGCCGGGACTCTCGACCGGCCCACTTCGGTACCGCCAGCCCACCTTGGTACCGCAAGTAAATACCGCTAGTAAATTGTCAAAGGGGGGGGGGGGGGGGTGCTAGTGACTTATCCGACCGGTCCACATCGTCCTTCAGTACCGGCCCATCGGGATTCGTCTCGAACGTCCCGATGGCCAGTCCGCCACTGACTACAAGCAACACCTTCCATATTACATGTTATATACACAAATATGAATGAGTGCAACCTTAAATATGTTTTGCACTACCCTGCTCCTGTTGTGCCACACTTTACTGACACAACATACTGAAGAGTCCTTTAAGCCCAATAAGTGAGTCCACTTCTTTAAAAACTGGTCCGAGCTAGAGGGGTCAAAACCTTCAAACCATTTGAAAAACAACTTACACAACATAGTGACATTTTGACATTCTCAGGATTCAAAGATTAAAGTGGTGAGCCATCACTTTATCCACAGCAGTCGGCGCTTTTTACCGGCCTGCTTCATTTCCATATTAATTGATAGATGTTAAACTTAAAGGAGTCCAGAGCCATTTATCTCAAAAAGAGGTGGGCCATTTTGATGAGCAAGACCCTAATACCTTTCTCGCACAATGTTTAATAATGGGGATTTTCACCCAGTCAGCAAAACGTTGGATTCTCCAGTCAGTCAATGTCAGAATGTTTTTCAGATAACACGAGGGTTATAACATGTTGCCCATTTTTTTTATCTATTGCAGCGTAACAAACTCTTCTCATCAGTGACCTCTTACCTTTTGAACCGGGTCTCGATGCGGACAGGTCAAAGTGCGCACTGGCTTCCAGCGAGGCCCACTTCTGGTTCTGCTGTTCTTCACTTTATCAGAAAGCTCTTGTAGCAAAAAGGATGACAGGCCTCCCCAATCGACGCGTCCCTCTTCCTTTATCGCATTGACGTCCACAAGGAGGCTGCCGTGCTCCTGAGTGAAGACCACGCTGTCAAACAGGAGGCCGTATTCCTCTTTAGAGCCACGTCCAACCGAGGACCAAGCCTGATCGACAAATTCAGTTCTGGACAAAGAGCGAGGAGAGCCCGAGGAGTCCTGAACGAGAGAGTAGCCGATTAGTGGTGGGATGAGATGAAGTACATTGATTTTGAGTATTAAATATTTTACTTCACCACTGGAGATATTGCATGATGTCTTCACACAATCATATACAAAACTCTTGTTAGCATTTGAACGCAACAAGCTCTCTCTGGTTTGTACAACATTTCATATGAGGCCTTGAGGCAATGTAGTAAGCAGATATATAGTATACATTATAACACTCTTCTTTAAGTATTTTCTGCATGAGTTAAATACGGTGGCCGCCAGGTGCGAACACGCATCAACGGCCCAAAATGGTGAAGCACACAGCTGGGACCGTAGCGCTTGTTGAAGGTTAGCTAAATTAGCTAGTTAGCTTATAGCAGATCAACGCTGGGCATGTTTCGTCAAGTTGGTGAAGATGTTTCTTCATTTGCATGTGCGCTTCTCCTAATGGAAATGTTTTGTGCCGTTGTTGTGTGTTTGCACCTGTGGGCCACCATAGATAAGAGCATACTGTAAGTCTTTAAAACTGACATAATAACCCTCACCAGGAACAGTCCCTGTAGCTTTCTGTAGTCCTCAATGTTCATCCTTTCCTCAAGCTGTGCCACCTCCATCCTCGTTCCCATGGTTACACCTCAGACCTGTCAATCAATCGCCAACACACCAAACAAGGACAGTAATAAAGGACTCAATAGAAAATAATAGATTCCCCCGCATCTCGAGGTGTAACACGATGAAAGAAGATGTTCCCTGCAGGAGTTATCCCATACCTCTCCTATACCGTCTATAGCTGTTTCTCAGCGGGTTGTCATGTCACCATAATCATGCGGCTCAGCGGCAGCAGCTCTTTTGTTGGCTCTTTTTCACTCTACCCAAATATGTCTGTGTTGAATAAGGTCTTTTTCATTTTCAACATACATTTCCCCTCAGCTCAGTGGCTTTCAAAGAGGGGTGAGTGAGTTCCCCCGAAGAGGAGGAGGCAGGTTGCCAAAGAATGTCAAGTCTCTGTTATGTCAGGTAATGTGAAATAAAATACTGGTGTCAGGTAGAGGAGCAGCAGGAATGAAAGTTAGGATGTGTTAAATTAGCCCCCGTGTGTGTATGTGTGTGTGTGTGTGTGTGTGTGTGTGTGTGTGTGTGTGTGTCTGTCTGTCTGTCTGTCTGTCTGTCTGTCTGTCTGTGTGTGTCTGTCTGTCTGTCTGTCTGTCTGTCTGTCTGTCTGTCTGTCTGTCTGTCTGTCTGTCTGTCTGTCTGTCTGTCTGTCTGTCTGTCTGTCTGTCTGTCTGTCTGTGTGTGTGTGTGTCTGTCTGTCTGTCTGTCTGTCTGTCTGTCTGTCTGTCTGTCTGTCTGTCTGTCTGTCTGTCTGTCTGTCTGTCTGTCTGTGTGTGTGTGTGTGTGTGTGTGTGTCTGTGTGTGTCTGTCTGTCTGTCTGTCTGTCTGTCTGTCTGTCTGTCTGTCTGTCTGTCTGTGTGTGTGTGTGTGTGTGTGTGTCTGTCTGTCTGTCTGTCTGTCTGTCTGTCTGTCTGTCTGTCTGTCTGTCTGTCTGTCTGTCTGTCTGTCTGTCTGTCTGTCTGTCTGTGTCTGTCTGTGTGTGTGTGTGTGTGTGTGTGTGTGTGTCTGTGTGTGTGTCTGTCTGTCTGTCTGTCTGTCTGTCTGTCTGTCTGTCTGTCTGTCTGTCTGTCTGTCTGTCTGTCTGTCTGTGTGTGTGTGTGTGTGTGTGTGTGTGTGTGTCTGTCTGTCTGTCTGTCTGTCTGTCTGTCTGTCTGTCTGTCTGTCTGTCTGTCTGTCTGTCTGTCTGTCTGGGTGTGTCTGTCTGTCTGTCTGTCTGTCTGTCTGTCTGTCTGTCTGTCTGTCTGTCTGTCTGTCTGTCTGTCTGTGTCTGTCTGTCTGTCTGTCTGTCTGTCTGTCTGTCTGTCTGTCTGTCTGTCTGTCTGTCTGTCTGTCTGTCTGTCTGTCTGTCTGTCTGTCTGTCTGTCTGTCTGTCTGTCTGTCTGTCTGTGTGTGTGTGTGTGTGTGTGTGTGTGTGTGTGTGTGTGTCTGTGCTGTCTGTCTGTCTGTCTGTCTGTCTGTCTGTCTGTCTGTCTGTCTGTGTGTGTGTGTGTCTGTCTGTCTGTCTGTCTGTCTGTCTGTCTGTCTGTCTGTCTGTCTGTCTGTCTGTCTGTCTGTCTGTCTGTCTGTCTGTCTGTCTGTGTGTGTGTGTGTCTGTCTGTCTGTCTGTCTGTCTGTCTGTCTGTCTGTCTGTCTGTCTGTCTGTCTGTGTGTGTGTGTGTGTGTGTGTGTGTGTGTGTCTGTCTGTCTGTCTGTCTGTCTGTCTGTCTGTCTGTCTGTCTGTCTGTCTGTCTGTTCTGTCTGTCTGTCTGTCTGTCTGTCTGTCTGTCTGTCTGTGTGTGTGTTGTGTGTCGTGTCTGTCTGTCTGTCTGTCTGTCTGTCTGTCTGTCTGTCTGTCTGTCTGTCTGTCTGTCTGTGTGTGTGTGTGTGTGTGTGTGTGTGTGTGTGTGTGTGTGAGAGTGTGTGGTGATTACATCCTGTTTGAGGTCTGTAAGAGATAAAAGTGAGATGATGAAAAAGTTTCTTTGAACAAAAGGGAAACACAAAGGAGGGACGGCAATCTCTGTCCTTTTTTATTTTCAGCCCGACAAAAACGTTTACGAGACAAATTCACTGGAAGTGGCATCAAACTGAGCGGAGATTTAGATGACAGGGTGTGTAGTGAAAGGAAAAAACAACGCTTTGCTGCTGCTATTATCTTTTTTACAATGCTGATTATCTGCAGTAGGATCCTGTTATGATCTAGCGTTATTTACAGCGTCAGCAAGTGTAAGACTGCAGCAACAGATATGTTTATGTTCAGATAAAGACTGATGCCAGCTGCTTGTCACAGAACAAGTCGGCATTTCTTCATTTACACTACATTTTTTAAATAACCCTCCCAACCCTGGTATTAATATAAATGCTGCTTACTGTCATTTACATGCAACTGCTGTTTTGTTGTGTGGACTTTACCCAACTTGGAAAAAAAACACAATAGGTTGAAGACAGTTAACAAATAAAACACACTTACATTGGCTATCTCCTTGACGTCCAGTCAACTCTATCCAAACTGTCACTGCTGGATTTCTGTCTGGGGTTTATTAAAGTTGCACAAAGTGTCAACCACTGCAGTCAAACTGTCCAAAAAGCTGCAATGATGGGCTTCTGGCCTCTCAACATCACTGTCAAGTAGCTGTAGCTTTTCAGCCCTCAGTGTGTACAAATGCTTCAGACTAGCAGGTTATGGATCAGGAAATAGATGTTGCTTTATAGATATTTTGCAGGTATTTACATGTTAAAAAGGACAGATTATGCTAATTGTCAGGTTCATATTAGTATTTTGTTCCTCTACTGTGACATGTGTCCATGCTTTAATGTTCAAAAAGCTCTTTATTTTTCTCATACTGCCTGCATACTTGCCAACATTGAGACCTCAGAAATCGGGGGCATTTCAAAACCACCGCGAGGGGGGGGGGGGTGCTAGAGGATCTCCGGAGCTGTTAGAACTGTTAGCGCCCGGAGCCTCGCAGCGGGGCAACTGCCTTTTAAAGATGAAAAGAACATCTACACATGCTTACTGTAGTTGCATACTGTATGTGTGGGCTGGACCTGTATTTTACAGGAAAGGAGTGAGCAGAGGGTAGAGTTGTCCATTCTTGTTCTGTTTTCTGTGACTATCTTCCTCCACATGCTGAACACCCTCTCAGACTTTCAGTTGCGCACGCTACTAAAGAGACGCGCTACCATGGAAACCAAACAATGGTGTAGCTGTATTAAAGTCTGAGTGGAAACAGTCGTGAGTAAATCTGATCTGATCACGTACAATGTGTTGGAGGCTAGCTAATAGAAGTGTGAATGTTACATAGTGATGTCACTATGTTCAGGAAGTAAACAAAGGAGTCCAATGTAGGTGTTTTAGGCAGGGGGGGAGAGTGTGGGAGAGACACTCCCTCTGGAGGGATATTCGGGATTTTAGCGTTTGCAGACCATTTACATGCACAAAAACCTATATTAGACACTACAGGAAAGAGAAACCCCCAAAAAGCATACTGTAATATCTTCTCTAATATCTGTAAATATGCAGTGGTGGAAAGTAACTAAGTTAATTCACTCAATTACTGTTCTTAACTATCATTTTATGGTACCTGTACTTTACTTAAGTATTTCCATTATCTGCCACTTTATACTTTTATATCTCAGAGTGAAATGCTGTCCTATTTTCTCCATTACAATATATATATATATATATATATATATATATATATATATATATATAAACAAACACAACAGACACAAACTACCAAAGCTTATCTTATCTTGAAGCTGAAGAGAGTAAAGAAAATCCAAATTTACCAAGACGACCAATTTCCCCCTCTCGGTCCACAACGGGTGTCCAGGAAAAACTTCCCCCAGCTCTGAGGTGTTAAAACATCCTTTCTTAATTGTATGACATTTCAAACAAATCCCCGGCTTCTAATTGGTCGATGCTGGCCGAGCCTGGGTCCGGACTGTAGGAGAGTCTTTGTGTGTCCGGAGTTTTGTCTAAAGCCAGCGAGAAGCAATCAACACACACACACCCATAGAGTTAACAAACTGCCCCCAGACAGTGGCAGAGGCCATGCACACACACACACACACACACACACACACACACATTTATTTTATTATCCCTCACTCTCAAAGACTCAGGCGAAGTTTCCTGGCAACCAACTCAAAAAGAGTTGTTTGTGCCCTGTATGTAACAGAGTGTGTACGAGTGTGTGTGTGTGTGTGTGTGTGTGTGTGTGTGTGTGTGTGTGTGTGTGTGTGTGTGACTTCTATTCACAGATTAGGCACTGGAGAGAAGATAATCTGTGTGAGGTATAATTACACATGCACTCCATTGCTACGGAAACACAATTCACAGGAACATTAGTATTCTACTGCCACTCATAAAAGTGTTTGTGCATTGTGGCGAGAACAAAAGTGGTGATCTGAACAAAAATAAAACACACAACAGCAGAGCTTTACGGAGCCGTTAAAAAGCCTTTCAGACGACTTCCTGTGGGGCACTCACACTACGAAAAAGCAGTGGTTGAAAGTAACTCAACTTTTTTGACTTATGTGTGCTTTACTTATGTATTTCCATTTAATGCTGCTCTTTAGTTTTACTCCACTACATTTATTTTGGCACTCAGTTGTGTTTTTTATATAAAAACACATAATGTGATTTAATGCAGTATTGTACTCTACACAGTATTTACATTTTGTCCACTCTTGACAAACTACAATACTCATACATTTATAAAGACAGGATAATAATAATAATAATAATAATAATAATAATAATAATAATAATGCTGTGAAAAGATCCATTCTGCATCACGAGTACTTTTACTTTTGAAACTAGATATACGATATATATACTTGAAGTACATTTAGCTGATGATACTAAAATATTTTATTATAATATTATAAGAATTTTAACTTAAATTACATGTTGATGCAAATACTTTTGTATGTTTGCATAAAAACAATTCTGAAATGTGGACTTTTACTTGTAATTGTTTATTTGAAGAACATTTTATTTGTATTCTTACTCAAGTTAAAGGTGGGG